CAGAACTGGCGGTCAGTTTCAGCAGCGGCTGAATCTGGATGCCAGTTCCGACTTACATACAGATTCAACTTAAGAACAAACCTACAGTCCCTATCTTGTACTTAACCCGGGGACTACTTGTAAAGCACTATTTCAAGATATCTCTTATTCCTCATGGAATGAAGTTTACGGGGATGTCGAAATAGTGCATCCATTATTTCTAAAATTATTATATCCCAGAATAGCCTTGCAGTCTAGATGTAACTTTAGTGCTTAAAAGAAGCAAATAGGTATTGTCAAAGTGTTAAGGTCCTTTAAAAGAGGGACACAGGCAAAATTCATTCTCTTTCCCCACTTCCACAAAAGAGAGAATGTATATTCTGTATAGCTTTAGGAAGGCTTTGTTTTAATTTAAAATGTGTTAAAGTGACAAATGGAATAAAATCTGAGAATAAGAGTCAAAGAAATTTAAGACATAAAACATCATAATTATTTGGGGTTTATTTGTCTTTAGCTAAGTTTAAGGAGTGATGAGAGATTTGGGCAAGGAAAGGCATGATAAACAGAAAATTAAAACAGAATAAAGTTGTCATGCTTTTGATCTAAACAAAACTATTCTTGCTGAATATGGCCTAAGTGCATGGTTATAAAGTCAGATTATAAATTCCATGTTCCAGTACTTTTTCTCTTAAGAAATACCATCTTATTCTTACAACGAGAGAGATTTTTTTCAAGTTTTTTTTCTTTTTTTGTTAAGACTGAGAGTCTAATTGAAAAATTGCCAAATAACGGGGAATGCCATTTCTGCACATTGGAAACTGGTTCTTAAGACTTTTTTTTTCTTTTACCTTGTGGATGGAAAAGCAAAAACTGCAATTATGTGGCATAACTTCTTTTTCTGCAGCCATTTAAATGGATGTTCTCTGGAAATGTTGAGCAGGCCTTCACTGCTCATCACAGATTCCTTTAATGCTACTTACGTACAACCCAGACGAAAGCAAAGAGATGAACAACTGTTAAGTATGTATTTTGACAAATCAGTTAAAGCAGTATAATAATGGAAAGTGTCTGTTTTTCAATTGAGTTATAAAGTCTTGTCTTTCTATAACAAATATTATACATATGAAAATTGAGAATGCTAAATTTTCAGTTAAGTTCTTGACTTATTTTTATTTTTTTCTAAGGCTAGTGATCCTGTGAATAAATATATTTTAAGATAAAAAGTGCTTGTTATGCTTCCTAACATTGATTCAGAGACTTCATATTTTAATCTAGTCTGAACTGAACTCTTTACTGTGTGATAAGGAATTAATTTCAATAGTTATTTATGCCTCATTTAAAAAATATTAAAAAGGATCAAAAGAAAATGAAATTACTATTAAATATTAAGTTCAAGCCTTTCAAACCTGTACAAGAGAGGCATAGCTCCCATTAATTTCAATCAGTATTGTGTAGCAATATCTTTTGAAGCTAAGATTTTCAGTGCTGCTTAATGTCAGTATGAGTCTGCACAGCAAGGGTTAAGTCAAAATAAGCTATGCAAATTGAGCTGTGTCAATTGTGTAGCTTATTTTGAAATAGCTTATTTGGAAATTGAGAGCATCTACTCAGCACTTATTCCGAAATAGAGCACTCTTCCTCTGACTTCCCTTAACTCGTTCTACAATAAGGGTTACAAGAGTCGGAGTAATAAGTCCTCCAGCTTGATGGTATTTCAACATTATTTTGAAATAACGCTAGTTATTTTGAAATAATGTTGCTGGGTAGACGTACCCTCAGTTAATCTTTGAGATCAGTTTTCTTGGTTATGATGTTTGATAGAGAAAATAAAAATATTTTTCCTCTTCTAAGTTTGGTGCTATGTGCAGCTACTAGATTTTAATTAATTAATTAATTAATTAATTTTTATTTCTCCTCTCCCATCTCATTCCAGCCAATGTCTTGGAGACGTTGCGAGGTGATGGAAATGTGTTAATAGCCGTGGATACAGCAGGCAGGGTTCTGGAACTTGCCCAACTTCTTGATCAGATTTGGAGAACAAAAGATGCAGGATTAGGAGTTTACTCTTTAGCACTTTTAAATAATGTCAGCTACAATGTAGTGGAGTTTTCTAAATCACAGGTGTGTTCTGACATTAAAGTAAACTATGAAGGGGCTAATTGTTTTCATTCTTAATACTGCTTGATAGCAATAGGCTTATCCAAGGACATGTAATTCTGTTAGCAGGAAGAAAGATTTCTGTGTTATTGATCTATTACAGAGTGGGTACTCATAACCTAAATTCTTCCCATCAAGTAACATACAGCCAGAATTCTTCCAGTAGCCTGACTTAATAGATAGATAAATTCATTTTCTTTGTACCACATGACCTGTTAGCCTAGGTTGCAGATGTGATTAAGGAAAATTTTAAATATATTTTAATTTATATACAGGCTATGTTATTGCCCACAAAGGTATTAGTGAAGAGTAGGGATGTAAGCAACTAGTTGACTTCCAATAAGCATAAGCTTATCAGATAGTCGACTAGTGATCCTAGTAGTTGCTTCCCCCCCCCTTGCTGCCTCTATCAGAGAGAGGCAGGAAGGTGGGGGAGCAAGTGCTGGGGGAAGCTGGCTTAAAAGTCCCACACTGGCCCTGTGCTGTCTGTGCGGCTTCCTTTTGAAATATTGTACATGTAAAAGCCTGAGGCGCCGCATGGAGTACAGGCCAGTTCCCCACTGGCCCCGTGCTCCCTACTAGGCTTCTACTTTTAAACTGCAGAGAGAGCCGGGCAGTTCCATTTTTCGATGGAAATCCCATAACCTATTTGATTAGTAAATTAGTCTAAATTTAACATCCCTAGTAAAGAGTAGGGATGTAATAGTGTAGTAGATTAACCGATTAACTGATAAGCAAAAGCTTATTGGTGAACGCTATAGACTACATACATTCCACCCTCTCCCCCTCCAGTAAATTTTTTAGCAGGCTGGCCAGCAGACTGGCTCAGTCCCAGCTTGTGCTTGGTCCAGGACTTCCCCTTGCTGCAGCTCTGCATTTAAAGTAGGGGTGGGGAATCTTTTTTTGGGTTGGGTCTGCTGACCCACAGGAAAAACAGTTGGGGGCTGCACACAAGTGAGAAGCAAAAAACTAAAAACAAATCCTTACTGATGTGGCCCCTGACTGAGAAGGAGAAAGACGCTTCCCGCATTCTCCTCAAACACCAGACCCTTGGGGGACCCAGCCTAGTAGATTTTGTGTGCTCCAGCCCCAACATGGGATAGTGTGTGGGAGTGGGCTGGATCACCAACATAAGCTCCTCACTGTTGGGGGAGGCATGAGCCTTGGGGTTGGATTGAGGAAAACTGGTCTGAGGTTCCCCACCCCAGATTTGAAGTGTATTAGGAGCCAGCTGGGCAGGCAGCCTGACTCAGTTCTGGCTTGTGCTGGGTCCGGGAGCTCAGACCGCCCCCCTAGACTGGGGCTGCTTCCTTTATGGACCACCCTGCTGCCTCTGATAGAGATGCAGCAGCACAGAGTGGTGGGGGGGCTCCTTGGGCACTGGCTGCCAGCCCCACCCCCCGGGGCCTATAGAATAGTCAAGTAACTGATAAGAATTCATTAGTTTAATTGACTATTCAATTAACTGATATTTAATATCCCTAGTAAAGAGACTGATTTGTTGTGTGTACATGGTATACCTGTCAACTTGAGAATCTCTAGAAAAGCATTTTTTAATGCTTTCATGTACAAGTATAGAGTTCGTACATTGGTTTTAGTTACTGAAAAGTACTATGTAAATCCTACAGACAGCTTAACACTTTTTTCCAACTCCTCTTTTAGGTTGAGTGGATGAGTGACAAACTCATGAGGTGTTTTGAAGACAAGAGGAACAATCCATTTCAGTTCCGCCATCTCTCATTATGTCATGGTCTTTCTGACCTGGCTCGAGTGCCTAGTCCTAAAGTTGTGCTTGCCAGCCAGCCTGACTTGGAATGTGGGTTTTCAAGAGATCTCTTTATACAGTGGTGTCAGGATTCCAAAAACTCTGTAATTTTAACTTATAGGACCACACCTGGGACACTAGCACGATTCCTTATAGACAACCCTTCTGAAAAGGTTATTGATATAGAGGTAAGGAAATATGTTACAATTCACATTTTCTGATGTTTACCAATTGTGGCAGTGTGTGCAAGACTTAGATTACATTTCTTCTTTGATTGTGCTATTGACAATTTTGTCTAGGTGCTGAGAGACTTTAACAGCCACTTGTTTTCTGTTGTGTTAAACTGTAATTATAGATAATCATGGCATCATTAAACAAGAATAAGATCAAAAGTAGATTTTATGGTAGAGAATTATAAAATATTAGCTGAAGAGTAAGCTTATGAAATCTATAAAGTATAGAAATTGCTAAAAAAAAAAAAAACCCCAAAACCTTTCACATCACAGAAGCACACCCATGTTACAGTAAACAGAATGTGATTGTACGGTTTCCTATCAACTTTTACATAGCAAGGTACAGTATCCTATTTGGACAAAACCACTTGGAAAAAGACAGTCAAGCTGAGTGTGTTACATTAGCGCAATAGATTTAAGAAGGTAAAACGAAGGGTGGAAAATAAAAAGGAACAGTTGACTTATACAGCTAATTTCAATAATTTTTCATACTACAGCTGCCCCTGATTTTGTGGTTCGTATGGTAGTGTGTACACACAATGCTTTAAAGAAGTTCTTTAGCATATCTCATATCGATTCTCCAGCTTTCTTTTATCATTTCCTAAATGCACAGGATGACACTTCATGCATAATTGTCCTTGGGATACAGTCTTATTTAAAAAAAACTTCTGTAGTGGTAGGCCGCCTTTAAATCCACAGTGAAATATGCTACTGTTCTCTATAACAGTATTCAACTTTGCTTTTGTCTGTCAGTGGCAAAGATAGGGAAAGCAGAATACCAACACCAAATATTATTGGTGAATTTTGCCCTATTCATTTACTAAAAGAAAGGGAAAAATGTCTCCACTTTAAGTAACTACATGAAATTCAGTTTCAATGTAGGAGTTTTGTATAGTGAATCAGTTGATTTTTAATACAGTTTTGGTATACCTATTGTATTGTTAAGTGTGTAATACCGTATTTGCTCAGTTTTATGATATTAGGGATTTTATTTCCATTTTAGAGTAAGTTACTGCTCAACTGAATGTGGATGGCAGAATGTTCCTTTAATCACTTTGGTATTATGACAGGCTAAAAGTTTTAACTAGTGTAGTAGAAGCAAGTATTAAAGTTAGTGTTTTTGTATGTTATATATTCTAATTTCTAATACAATTTTTCCCCTCCTTTTGTTTTTTTACACTCTCTCTCTCTCTCTCTCACTCTTTTTTTTTTTTTTTAGTTGAGGAGCCGTGTCAAACTTGAAGGGAAGGAGCTTGAGGAGTACCTAGAAAAGGAGAAACTAAAGAAAGAAGCAGCTAAAAAGTTAGAACAGTCCAAAGAGTAAGTATATTTCCTATTAATATAGTGGGCTATTAATGCAAAAGGCACAGCATCCAAGTAACCAATGTGATTCCTTACTATCTTTTGGAAATACCTGAAAATTGTAGCTTTCATAGATGCAAATATATCAGATCATAATCAGTTGGATGTTCTGATTTATTGGACCCTTTCAGCTGATCTCTTTTACAGTCGTGGGCTTTCTGAAGTTTGTAAATCATCTTAGTTCTCCAGCAGTAACTGATTTTAAATATTTCTATATGCTTATTAATTGCAAAATTAGTCATGTGACAGTCAGATAATGCAAGCAATGTTGTGTAAAATTTCAGACTGTGTGTGTAATATGAAACTTAAAGAAATAACTTAAAATCCATTTGGGGGTGACATTTCAGGGCAGATATAGATTCCAGTGATGAGAGTGATGTTGAAGAGGATATTGATCAGCCAACTGTGCATAGAACTAAACATGACTTGATGATGAAAGGCGAAGGTGGGCGAAAAGGAAGCTTCTTCAAACAGGCCAAGAAATCTTATCCAATGTTTCCGGCCCCAGAAGAAAGAATTAAATGGGATGAATATGGGGAGATTATCAAGTATGTGTGGGAAACAAAAGTAATATTATTTGTATAGTATTTTGTTTTTGATGCACATGTGACACTTCTGTGAAGTAGGTATTATTGTTGTTTTAGACAAAGGATAACAGACAAAAATTAAGATAAGTTGTTGTAGCTTCTTTAGAAAATTAGTGATAGACCAGGACTGAAATTAAGTTTTTCCTCAAGATCAGTCCATTTAAATCATGCTGCCTGTCTAGGTACTTTCCTTATCCTAGAAGAAAGTAGTGATTACATTCTTTTCTGTTTAATGTGAACCTGATTTTGTTTAAATTACACAATCTGATTTGTAAACTTTAAAATGAAAAGAAGGGAAAACATCTTCTTTCTTGGAAGCAAGCAGTTCCTATCTGCCTTTTAAGGAACTTTTTAAAAAGCAAGAGAATCTTGCAAAATGTTTGCTGATAGTAAATTCAGAAATCGGAATATCTAACATATATTAATCTAGAAGAAATATAGCTCATCTAAGTGGAATATCCTTGAGCATATTTAGATATTGGAATCTTTTAAAGCATTTTTGCTGAATTTATTTTACTTTTAATTGCAAAGAAACATAAGTTTAATATAATGTAATAGTAAATGTTATATAGTGCCTAAAACCATGGCATTACTTTAATACATATAATTATAAATTCCAACATTAGGCCTGAAGATTTTCTAGTTCCAGAGCTTCAAGCAACTGAAGAAGAAAAGAGTAAATTAGAATCTGGTCTGACAAATGGAGATGAGCCTATGGACCAAGATTTATCAGATGTTCCTACAAAATGTATTTCAACAACAGAATCAAAGGAAATAAAGTAAGTGATTTTTAGATAAGCTCACAGCTGGAGGGCACTGTTTGTTAGAAATTTGCAAGTGAAATGATTGATACATTGCAAACAAGCTTTCAGTTGCTTACATTTGGGTCTCCTTCCCCCCCCCGGGAAAAAAATTTGCAAGGGTGAAACTTCATAATAGTTATTTTTTTTCCAAGTCCAAAGGGAGACTTTTCTGGAGAACTGGAAGATAATTTGTTGTTGTTGTTGTTTTTTAAATTGTGTAAAGGGCAAAAAATCATTGAAATAACAGCATATATTTAAAGAATCATATATCAAATCCTTTTTTTGTAAAGAAAACGAAACCTTCCCCAATGTAGTATTACATTATTATTTTACAGCATCCAGAAAGATGCTGGGTGCTTGGTAGCACAGATGAAAAGATATAAAAGAAGATTTTGCCCCTTTCTCTCCCTCACCTCTGTATGGTATTTGGATGGCTTAAACAGGCTGAGGGAGAATTCTACTTGTGCGGGCGTTACATTGGACCAGCATATATGACCCAACTGTGGCCTTCCCTGCATGCTTTTCCTAGTGTCGTCTCTGATATTTTGGGGGATAGTGTGCATAACTACTGCTATTCTGGGTTATACTGCAAACAACATGGAAGACTTCCATAACTTACAGTAGTCCCACCTTCCTGGGCTGCCTAAGCTGTGCTGCAGCCGGTTTTGGAGTCAGGAAAGCACAACTATACTTAGAGCTTCCTGTGAGCTGCACTTTTTTGAGCTGCCTCTCCTAAAGATGGCACAGAATTTGATTAATAGTTTCGACTCTAAAGAGCTTATAGTCTACTTTTATACATGATGGGGGATAGAATAGGAGGGGGAATGGGAGACGAAGAGCATGTGTTACAGCAATAAGACATCATAATTATTCTTTCTAAATTTAGGACATAAAGCATTAAGATTTAAAATTACAGTGAACCCTCGCTACTTCGCGGTTCGACAATTAGAGCTAGAGTTACATACATAGACTATGAAGGACGCTCAGATGGTGACTCCATTAAAAAAATCATTAACCAGATGAAGCCACGACAGTTAATCATTGTCCATGGTCCACCAGAGGCCAGTCAGGACCTTTCAGAATCTTGCAGAGCTTTTGGTGGAAAAGATATTAAAGTTTATATGCCTAAACTGCATGAAACTGTAGATGCGACCAGCGAGACTCACATCTATCAGGTAAGATAGTAGAATTTGTCAGTTGTATAAGTACTGAGGAATGTGAGAGCTACATTGATCTTTTGGCTATGTTCTTTTAGCTGTTCCTTTGGAAGGAATTCTTGCAGCTAGTCTAGGGCTGGGCAATAAAATGGTGGTGATTATCCAGGATTATTTCCTTGCAAGCTCCTGCTACATTTACCTGTGCTTCTGCAAGTATCTATGATTGCAGATCTTGGCCGCAGAGCACTGTTCCTGACCAATAGGAGCTGCAGGAGACTTCACAGACTGGGACACCACTTCCCACAGCTCCTATTAGCAAGGAACGGCAATCCGTGGCCAACATCAGCTGGAATTGCCTGTACCTGTGAAGCACAAGTAAATATAATGGTAGTGGCCCACCAGGGTCTAACCCTGGTGGATTGGATCTGGCCCACAGGCCGGTATTTGCCTACCTCAATATAGTCATACCAAGGCAAGACAAATAACTTTTGTTTCTGGGGAAAGATGGAAACATTTCCTTTACAATTTTGTGGATATACCATACCTACACATTATAAATGTAATCACTACATAAATAGAAATGTATGATTACATATTTAAGCCTGCAGTTACGAAGTGCAAAAGGAAGGTATCTCATTCAACTTGCCCTGCTGAAAACATTGTATGTGTTTAGGTATAATTTGAGTCCAAGTCCTGCATTCACTGTATATCCAAAATTCTTATTGAAACTACTTAGAAGAGTTTTGGATGGAAAAGAAATAGCCCAAGTATTAGCTGAAAATACAATTGTCAAGTGCAAGTTAATATTAGTGAAAACCTCAACTAAACCATTAGTGTGCTTGGGTGTGTTTGTCTCTCTCTCTGTGTAACAGGAAAGAAACTAGAGAAATTGCATGAGCATGTCAGCATTATAAATGGTTCCAACTAAGCTTTGAAGCAGAAATTTAATGAAGGGGCAAGGGAACTAAGGACACAAGTACCTAACTCAGTTTGAAAGGAGTGGGATATGAATGCGTGTTTCAAAAGCTGATTGGAGAAAGGCCAGTGAAACTCCATACTAAGGATGTTAAATATCGGTTAATTGAATAGTTGAGTAGCCTCATGAATTCTTTATCTGTTAGTCAACTATTCTATCGTCCCCAGGGGAGGTGCTGGTAGCTACTATATCAGAGGCAGCCAGATCCCAGGTGGGAGCTTGTCCAGGAGGGGGAGCCAATTTAAAAAACAGTTCCCTTCATAGACCAGCTGCCTGTCACCCAGTGCTGCTGCCTCTCCTAAAGAGAGAATTTTGTGGATAATTTTAGAAACATTGCAATACAGAAAAAAGTCAGATTTCAGAATCAGTCCTGAAACCTTTTCTGCTCTCTGGTGTGCAAATCATGTCTTTGCTATTTCTGTTGTTGGTTTAGCAAAGTACGTAACATTTGAAAAAGAAGCAGATGGGGACATCAGAAAATGAAGAAGAAATTAATTAGTTTTTTGGGGGGATTGTGGTGGGTGTTTTATAATAAAATATTGCAAGTCTCCTTTATATATTTGATCCCAACAGCAGCATCTAGATTTGGGAATACAATGCCACTGAATAGTGATGTCTCACAGAAGGCAGGTTTTTACTGGAATTTCTTAAGATTTTAGATTCTAGATGAATATGGTTAAAAGTGATATTTCATTTATTGAAGGTTTAGATTTTTAGTCTTTTTCCATCATAACTAGTAAAGAACTGCATAAGTGCCCTTTTGAATGCAAAGTTGATATGTTAAGTGGCTTTTTATTTATTAATCTCGCCAATAATTCAAATATGCAGAAGGAACCATTCTTGAATATCCTAAGACCAGTCAAGGATAGTTTCAACACACCAGGAAAATATGTGAAAAAGGGTGTTGCAATGAAAGCCTCACCTTAACTCTACAAGATCTTGCTGTCTCAAATGCCACAATCTAGTCTCAGTATCTTTATCAAAAAAGAACACTAGCATTGGTTTTTCTCTGCCACTTTCCAAACCAATTGTAAGATGAAATCCATGTGTACTCTTCTGTCATTTAATATTGTGCCTTACTTCTGTTTATTTTTCCAAAGAGTATGGTGGATCCAAAAAACATCGAGTCATAATGAATGGGAAAATGATTAACGTTTAAAAAGTTTGGTGTTAGGAGCCTGTGAAATGTGCTGTCAAGTTTGCCTACGTAAAAGTCAGTACTGTTTCTTCTTTGAGTGATTGCTCATGTCCATTTCATATAGGTACGCACGTGCAGCGTGCATCATTAGAAATTTTTCCCTTAGCTGTACTTGTTGGGCTAGCAGCGGAACCCTCTGGAGTGGCTCTGCTATACCAGCCAATATATACCCCTGCTGGTTCTCCACCCCCTCAATTTCTTTCCACCTTCTCAATTCCTTCTTACCGCTCGTGCTTCTGCTCTTGCTCAGCAAGCGCCCTTTAGCAGTTTAAGTTTCACAGTTCTTCTTAGCTTTCTAAGCAGTTAAGTGTTGTTTCTTGTGTTAAGGACTCAACCGCAGGACTCACACCGTGCTCCCAGAGTGTACAGCAGGACATGCCTGTTAAGTGTTGTTTCTTGTGCTAAGGACTCAACCGCAGGACTCGCACCGTGCTCCCAGAGTGTACAGCAGGACATGCCTTGGCCTCAAGGCTTCAAGCCCTGTGAGACGTGCCAGAGGCCTATGCCCTGCGGTGACTCTCATTCTGCCTGCCCTAAATGCCTTGGTGAGGCCCATTTGTCTGAGGCCTGTAAAATCTGTAAGGCCTTCAAGCCATGCACGAAGTGAGAGAATCGCGCTTGAAGATAATTCTTATGAAGGCAGCTTTCCACCCGGCACTGGCATCCTACTTGGCCCCCGTGACTCAGAGCGCACCAACTTTGGTGCAGGAGGCATTAGGACATTTATGTACCTCCCTGGTACCACGTAGACCTCGGCACTGGCCTCAGTCCCCGGTGCCCCAGAAGAAGAGGAGCCCTAGTAGGGGCAGGTCACCCCCACGGTGCGTGCCCTCTGTGCGCCCTCAGGTAGGGCATGCAGCACCATTGAGCACTGTGCCCAGACCATTGCAGTCGGGCAAAAACTGTTCTAGTCTGTGCCAAGATTCCAGCCCAGTGCGGGACTTCCTGGAGCCCTCCACTCCGGAGACCTTCGAGGTGGCCAGGGATTTGATCGAGCTGTCTTCTTCCCCTACCTTGGCACTGGCCCCAACCAAGTATCATGAGCCAGGTCGGGCCTAGAAGTGAGGGGACATCACCACTTCAACCCGGCACCTACACCTGCCTCCCCAGTACTGAGTGCAGTACCATCCACAGTCTTGGGGACCGGTGACAGCCTCAACACCAGCCCGCGCCCTGGCACTGGACCTGGCACCCGTACAAGGTCCTTGGGTGGTACCGAGTATGGCACCAAGCTCTGCAGCTACCGGCTCTGACCATGCCTCCCCCTCCTCCCTGGCAATGGGGCAAGCTGGAGTCAATGGCCCAGCATGTTCCAAACAGGGAGATCACTTGCTGCAACTGCCTCCGCTCCACCCTAGTCCACCTCGGAGTACTTGACCAACTCAGAGGTGCAGTCTGCACGGTTATCTTGGGGATCCAAATCCAGGTCCTGGCACCAGTTCTATTCTTGCCACCGATTGCGGCACCGCTGTGCCTCCACGCACCAACGTCTGCATCATCATCAATGGGCCCAGCCAGTCCCATTACCAGTGCTGCTGCAGTCCCGGCCTCCACAAACGCAAGGCCTGACTTAGTGGCTGTTTTGGATCCCCTGGGCCTACCACCAGAGCCAGGGTGTGGACCCTCTTTTCTGGGTCTTGGGCACCTCCTTCAGCAACCCCACTGGCTCAGTCCCCCACGGCAGGCCAGTCCCTTCCTCCAGGCCAGACGTCACTGAGACCCTTGGAGAGTGATGCCCCTGTTGCTCTCCCACCACAGTGCCCTCATGTGTGGCCTCTCAGGCCCCCTCACAAACCCGTGACCCTGTGGAGGCTGGCATGAAGAGGTCTTTGTCCTCCTCTCTGGATGAGGCCCTGAGTGACTCTATCCCCTCCATGCCTTTCACGGACTTGAGGTCCCGCCAGGACCTCATTCGTTACGTAACCCAGAGCTTGGGAGTCCAGGCTGAGAGGGTGTCTGAGGACTCTGACCCTATGGTCAATATCCTACAGCCCAACATCCTTACCTGAGTGGCACTTCCCATCAACGAGACTGTGGCCAAAATCACGAAGTCCCTCTGGCAAACCCTGGCCTCTATCTCACCAACAGACAAGAAGGCTGAGCGGTGGTACTTTTCTTAGGAGGGGAATGAACACCTTTTCTCCCACCCGCCTCCGGGGACTTTGGTTCACTGCCTGGACAACCAAAGGGCCAACCGGGTGCCATGCCTAAGAAGAGGGACGCCAAGAAAATGGACCTTTGGGCAGGAAGGCCTGTGCATCTAGGGGTCTTTAACTCCGTATAGCGAACCAGCAGATTCTGTTGTCTTGCTATGGCTGTATCACCTTGGCATCCATGGACAAGTTCACCAAACTGCTTCCCAGGGACTCTCAGCCCAAGTTTAGAGCCCTCATGGAGGCAGGCAGGCAGGATGGTCTCTCGGGCCACCTTCCAGGCCACCCTCGATGCAGCCGCCCAGTGTAGGGCCACAGGACTGGTCTCATGCCACAGCTCCTGGTTGCAGGGATCTGGAGTGTACGTCCTGAACACCAGGACTTCCAGGACCTTCCCTTTGAGGGCCTTATACCTCTTCTCTGAGCAGACCGACAATGTCTGCATGACCTCAAGGAAAGGCCTAAGGTCCTTGGCTGTTCACATGCCTGCTACCCAACTGCACGCTTTGTCAGGCAGAAATGCCCCTAGATCCTCCCAGCAGGGCACTTCTCCCATCTCCATAGTAGAAACAGCAATGGAAGGATTGGCAGATGCCATTCCCAGCAGGCCCATGTCCAGCGTTAGGGCCCGCCCAGCAAGTCTTCAGGGCTCCATTAAGGGTTTTCAGGGTATGCCCGAGGACAGATTGCCAGCCTCATACCCCCTCTCCGGGACTGCCTATTCCCTTTCTGCTGGGCCTGGGAATCCATTATCTTGGACCATTGGATCCTAGAAATGGTGGGAAGGGGGTACACCATCCCTTCCTTTCTGCCCCTCCCTCCTATCCCCCTTCCCTGTTCCTCTTCAGGGACCCCTCTCACAGGCTTCCCCTTCGGGAGGAGGTTCTTCAGCTCCTCATCTTGGGGGCTGCAGAGGCAGTTCCCCTAGAGTTCTTGGGCTAGGGCTTCTACTCCTATACTTCCTGGTCTCCAAGGGTGGGTTTCATCCCATCCTGGACCTCAGGGACCCCAATGCCTTCATCATAAAACCAAATTCAGTATGGTGACTCTGGCATCCATTATTACCTCCTTAACTCCCAGAGACTGGTACGCTGCCCTCAATCTAAAAGATGCTTACTTTCATATTTCCACTGTACACCACCACTGGCAGTTCCTCCGCTTTACTGTGGGCAGGGACCATTATCAGTTTACAGTCCTCTGTTTTGGCCTTTCCACAGCCCCCCAGTTCTTCAGGAAGTGCATGGCTGTTGTCGCTGCCACCCTGGGAAAACAGGGCATCCAGGTGTTCCCCTACCTGGATGACTGGCTTCTAGAAGGGTGCTCCGCGAACAAGGTGTGGGCTCACATCGCCTTAGTTCAAGACCTCTTTTGGGAGTTGGGACTGCTCCTGAATGTGTCAAAATTGACCCTGGTACCCACCTAAGTGATAGTCTGTGAGCACATCGGCCAGGGCTTCCCTTCCCACGTCCCATTTTCTGGTAATCAAGGCAGCTTTCCAGAACGTGCGGGCATTCCCGATGACTGCAGCCAGGGCCTGCATGTGCCTCCTGGGGCTAATGGCCACGTGCTTCTACGTCATCCAGTGTGCCAAGCTCTGCATGCATTCGCTGCAGCTGTGGCTTGCACGGACTCACAACCCGTCCCTTCACCCATGGGACAGAGTGGTGACAGTTCCCTCTGATGTCCTGCGCTCCCTGGATTGGTGGACTCGGGAGGAGGTGGTCTGTGCTGGAGTTCCATTATGCCGACACTCTGTCTTGTGACAGAAGCGTCAGACACTGGTTGTGGGGCCCATCTCGGAGACATGCGGACACAAGGTATGTGGTCCCGGGACAACCTCTCTCTGCATATCAATGTCAGGGAGCTGCAGGCAGTCTGTCTTGCCTGTGCAGCCTTCCTCCCTCAGCTCAGGAACAGGTCAGTTCTCATTCTATCCAACAACACGTCCTTCTCCAGCCACGAGTGGTCCCTCTGAGGGGATGCAGCTCACTGGATTTTCCACAGGTGTGGATTTCCCCTTCTGGACCTGTTTGCCACCGGTCAGAACAGGAAGTGCCTAAGATTCTGTTCTCTCATGGGGTTGGGGCGGTGCTCTCTGGGAGAAGCGCTACTCATCCCCTGGCCCAAGGGACTCCTCTATGCATTTCTGCCATTCACGCTAGTCCACAGAGTTCTCCTGAGGGATTGGGAATTCAGGGAATCCCTGATTCTCATCACTCCAGCATGGCCCAGGCAGCACTAGTTCGTGACCCTCCTGAGTCTGTCCTGCAATAGACAGGTCACTCTCCCGCTGGTCCTGGACCTGATGATGCAGAACTTCATCAGGCTTTGCCACCTGGACCTGCAGTCCTTGCACCTTATGGCTTGGAAGCTGCAGGGCTGACAGCAGCGGAACAACAGTGCTCCGCATGCGTGCAAGAGGTACTGCGAGGCAGTAGGAAGCCTTCTGCTAGGGCTACATATCTGGCCAAGAAGAAACGCTTCCATGCCTGGACTATCCAGAGGGGAGTATTGCCCATGGATACCCTGGTCCCACCTTCTAGATCTTAGGTTACAGTGGTTCTCCTCCTCAGTTAAAGTTCATCTAGCGGCTATTTCCACCTTTCACCTGGGTGCCCGGGGTAAGACTCTTTTTGTGGACCTGATGATGAACAGATTTTTGAAGGGCCTGGACAGGCTTTATCCACACATTCAGCAGCCTGTCCCCCAGTGGGACCTCAGTCTGATCCTGTCTAAACTTATGGGACCTCCCTTTGAACCCTGGCGACGTGCTTGCTCCTGCACCTATCCTATATATGGTGTCCCTTCCAGTGGCCATTACATTGGCTAGGCATGTGTCCGAACTGAGGGCTCTTACTTTGGATCCCCCATACACAGTTTTCTTCAAGGATAAAATCAGATTGTGCCCCCACCCTGCCTTCCTTCCGAAGGTGGTGTCTAGCCTCCATGTGTCACAGGACATTTTCCTGCTAGTCTTTTACCCTACGCACTGGGTTAGGAACAGGAGTTGCAGACTTTGGATGTCAGGAGGGCTTTAGCCTTTTATTTAGAGAGGACAAAGCCCTTCCATAGGTCGCCTTAGCTCTTTGTAGCCATTGTGAGCAGCTGAAGGGTCAGCCAGTCTCTGTGCAAAGGATCTCCTCCTGGATCACTGCCTGTGTTAGGGAGTGCTATGGGCTGGCTGAGGTTCTAGCCCTTCCCCTCTTGGCCCACTCTACTAGGGCTCAGATCTCCTCTGGAGCTTTTGTGGCTCATGTCCCGATCCTGGACATCTGTAGGGCTGCCACGTGGTCCTCTCTCCACACCTTTTCCAGTCGCTATGCACTGACCCAACAGGCTAAGGAGGATGCAGCACTGGGTAGGGCTGCCCTCCGTTCAGTGGAAGGGTAAAACTCTGACCCCGCCTTCTAAGGTTTCTGCTTTGGAATCACCTACATGGAACGGGCATGAACAATCACTCGAAGAAAAAAGGTTACTTATCTCTCATAAATGTTATTCTTCGAACTGTGATGCTCATGTCCATTTCGCCCACCTCACCTTCATCAGAATGGTCTGGTAAGAAGGAATTGAGGAGGTGGAGGGCAAGAGGGGTATATATTGGCTAGTATAGCAGCACCTCTCCAGGGGGCTTGCCTGGTGGTCCAGCGGGTACTGCTAAGGGAAAAATTTCCGATGATGTGTGCATGCTGCGCGCACACACCTACATGAAATGGACATGAGCAACACATCTTGAAGAAAAACAGTTACAAGATAAGTAATTGTTCTTTTTGTTTGTGTGCCACTTAGGTCAGGTTAAAAGATTCTCTGGTCAGCTCTCTTCAGTTCTGTAAAGCGAAAGATGCAGAACTAGCTTGGATAGATGGTGTCCTGGACATGCGGGTTTCAAAAGTGGACACAGGAGTCATTCTGGAAGAAGGAGAGCTGAGGGAAGATGGAGAAGACTTGGAAATGCAAGTGGATATGCCTTCTTCTGACTCTAGTGCTGTTGCACAGCAAAAGGCCATGAAAAGTCTATTTGATGATGATGATAAGGAAGTATGTGAAGAGAGCGAGATCATTCCTACTCTAGAACCACTGCCACCACATGAGGTAGAAAAGCTTTTGTCTTATCTTGGCTATGTGCTCTCATATTGGTGGGGATTTCAGTTTTATATTTGTGGGGATTATTTACTGGTATTGTTTTTTCAACATTTTGTGCCTGACTTTTTAGTGGGACTTATTCAGGTAAAAGTCTCATTAAAGTGAGGAACTTTGCTTGAGTAAGGTTTCTAATGTTAGACTGTGGTGTAAATTGGCATCTTAATGTGATTTTTTTACAATTGTTTACACAGTTACTGCTTTCTTTGTTCCGAATGTGAGCTCTTCAAGGCAGAGAATATCTCTTTATTATATATAACTAGATTTGCCCAATATTGCTCAGGTCCTTAACTCAATTAATTTTTGTTTTTCTTCATTTAAATCATGGGCCTGGGGATGAGGGGTTCAGTATGCAGGCTTCCCCTAGGAGATCGGACTATCCCAGCCCTCTCTCACTCCAGCAGGGTGGGGCCAGGTGAGAGCACCTCTCCATGGCCGCTGCAGCTGCAGAGGACACAGCTGTGAGAGGGGTATATGTTCCTCAGCTGGGGCAGGTCCAGGTTTGTCTTCCCCCTTCATTCCCACCCAGCTTGAGGAATGGAGCAAACTTTGCACATTCCTCAATCTCCCTGATGAAGGGGAACAGCCAGCAATGTTTTCATATGAATTGGGAGGGCACCCTGCCTAAAGTGTGCCTAGGGAGGTGAGAGACTCAGGGCTGGGGCAGTCCCAGATGGGGGAATGTGGGGAGGAGAGGGAGATGGGGTGGGTATCCGCAGCCCGCCCACCCTTTTCATGTGCTTGGTGATTCTGTCTCTTTTCTGTATGGTTTTATACATCCTCATATGCATGGCAGGAGAGCTTCAGCCCTGTCCCCCCTTGCAAACCCTTAACTTGCTTTAAGTTATAGGAGGAAGCTGCATGCCAAATTTGGTGGTCTTTGCTCTTACCATTTAGGAGCAGTTCTTGAACAGACAGACAGACTTGCTCGTTCACAAACTCTCTCAAATATATAGTAGACATACAGTACCTAGCACAAAGTGACCCTCATCTCAGATGGGGTTCTAGATACTGATGCAATGCAAATTTTTATTTGTTATGCAGCCTGTGTGCTTACCATACATGGCTTTGGAAATCATTTGGTATTTGTACTGTCAAACAATTTTAAAAATTATGATTAATTGTGATATTAAATAATTAATTGTGATTAATCATAGTTTTAATCACACTCTTAAACAATAACATTTATTTAAACAGTTTTGTATGTTTTCTATATTTTCAAATATAGGCTGTGGGATGGGGCTTCAGCCCCCTCACTGCTGATGCAAACCGCTGGCCTCCTAGAGGTATGCGATTAACATATTAAAAAAATAACGCATTCATTTTGTTTTCAGTTAATCACAGGTATTAGCTGCGATTAAGAAAGCCCTAGTTGGTATCACTCCTTAGATTTACTCTTAAATTTCATCTGACACTGTGGTAAATCCTTTTCCTTATGATATGTAGGGTAAAGATACATACATACACAAATATAATTTTAAAAAGTATCTAACTGTCTAGCAGCGGATCAGATAGAACAAAGAGTGCTATAAGAATTGCACTTAGTCCTCATATACTTTTATGTAGTTGGATAGATATCATTAATTCCTTTTAAGAAATAGAGAGAACTGAGACATACAGATATTAACTCTTAGCCCAGGTGGAGATAGGTAGCCACCTTTGTACTCTCCCAAACTAGTATTGTTGGGGGCCTCTGTATCCCTTGGAGCATAACTTAGGGAATCACTTAGAGCTGTCCAAGGAGTGGCAGCCTCCCTGAGCTGTGCTGTGAACCACAGTATTGATTACCAGGTCACTGCTCCCCAGGACACCACTTGCTCCAAGGCTTGTGAGCAGGTCCTACCAGGGCAGCCTTAAGGCTGTCTTACACAATGCCTATGCAGAGGGAAACCTTCCCTTGGCTAGATTCAGGGTTGACAGGGCCCTTTCATCTGACATAAAAGGTCTGGAGCATGGATGGCAATCTCCTCCTACGTATTTTCCCAGATTACTGAACTTGGAATGGAAACTGGAATTTCCCTTGCCCTGCCACACACATTCATGCTCCTAGCACAGATCAGGAGTTGCTAGAGGGAAGACTTCTTGAAATCATTTCAGCTAACAAAGGGGAAATGGAATAAAAAATATTTTTCCAATCAGATACTAAGTTACTTTTATTATAAAGGCTTCATAAAAATGACTGTCTTAACTCTTTAGAAGCTTCATTATACTTTATTCATTGAAAGGTTATTGGACATCAGTCTGTTTTCATGAATGAGCCAAGACTGTCTGATTTTAAACAAGTTCTTCTGCGAGAAGGAATTCAAGCTGAATTTGTAGGAGGGGTGCTTGTGTGCAACAACCTAGTGGCTGTTCGTAGGGTAAGTATGTTTAAAAAATTCTCTGGAATATATGCAACACGTTATGTGATAACAATATGCAAAGTATGTCCCTCACCATCTCACGTAAAGATAATAGATTCAAATATGTTTTTGTTTCAGACTGAAACAGGGCGCATTGGATTGGAAGGATGTCTTTGCCAGGACTTCTATAGAATAAGAGATCTTTTATATGAGCAATATGCCATTGTCTAAAGGAAGTGCTGTGAAGATGATGTCATTACTTGAACTTTAAAGAGAATGGGGATTTCTACTTTATTTTTGTGGATATCTTTTTGTAGTTTTCTAATTTCTGCAGAATTGTTCTGATTCTTCAAAAAAGTTAAACATGAAAACCCAGTAAACTAACCTAAATAATTAAATATCTGCTATCATAGTTCTTTGTAAGACATCTCTTGGTATATTCCACATTGTTGGCTTTCAGACTGCTAAAAATATTGTAGCAAATACTATTGGTATGCTGTAATTGAGACAGGCAGTTTCGTTCATGAACTTTCTTTCAAAAAGGATTTAACTTGTCATAAATATGCTCTTTGATGTGGCATGGCATACCAAGTTTCTACCTAAGAATGCAAATATATAAAAACAAGCAGTTTTCCTATTTTAAAAATGTAAGTAAAGAGAAGCACTCTTGTTGGGTTGTCTTTGTTTTTGGGGGGAGGAATGGGGGGTGATTCTTTTGCTGAACAGTAGATGCTTCAGTGAAAATTTTCTAGGCCATTGAAAATTGGCCAACTGCTTAATTGACTTTCTTCCAATGGGTAATATGCACCTTTGTTAATACTGGGACTACTTCATGCAGTACTGATTGATACAGTACATCATAAGACATTGTGAAATAAAATCTCAGTCTCCTGGGTCAAAAAGCCATCTTTAAAATGTTACAAGGTACTTTATTACAGAATGATTGGAAAAACAAAAGTTGTTTGACAGATCTTCTAGCCACATCTTTTTATATTTTCTAGCTACTGTACATGTATTTGTGTATGCCAGTTATAACTATCTTTTGTGAATTTTGATTTTAATACTTTGAAGAAAAAACTGCATTCTATTAGTTATAGTAAGCAGTGCACAGTGAGCTGAGTTCAGGAAAATATTTTATCCTTAAGTCTGAATTCTTAAGGATTTATTGTATAAATTGTAGATTTATCTTGTTGGTACCAGGTTTTATACTATTTGTTTTTCCTGTTGCTGGCAGTGGGATTACAGCCACCGGTATCAAAATTTGTTAGATTTTTTTTTTTTAGTTGGCTATAAACAGTCTTGGGTCATTTAACTTGTTACACTTCTGAATTGAAAACCGTGATGGAACACATGCAGAGCACTGGTCTATGGATGAGAAATTAATTTTTTTATTCTTGACCTTTGTTTTTAATCAGTGTTTGAACCTACTCTTTGTTTATTACAACAACTGTGGCATAAATTTGAGTTCTGCTTTCATTTGTATATTTTTAAAAAACAAACAAAATTGAAATATGGGGAAAATGAACTCTGAGGGCTGCGGCTGAAGTAAAAATTAGATTGCTGTTCATTCTTCACTATTAGTCTTAATATGGCTAATTTGCAAGTTGCCCATTTATACTGTTTAAAAGTTGGAATAGGAACTTAAAAGAACTGGTATAAGCATTCAGAAACTTATCGTATTACAGATTGAACCTCTCGATTCTGGCATTCTCTGGTCCAGCAACGTCTTGTTCCGGCATGATTTTAGTTAGCTGGATGTCCACTTATCATGGGTGTGGCCAAGTTTCCCGCAGTCCCATAAAGTTTGTGCTGGCTCTCTGTGTTTCATGCTATTATTTAGCTCTAATTTATTTCTAAATGTCTTCTAAGATCCCAGGAAGTGTTGGTAATGATGCTAGACAATACTGACTTCCTGTGGTCGTGCAGATTATTTGGTTTGGCACCAATCAGGGCCAGACTAGAGGTATTCAACCTGTAGATGTAAACATTTCCTTTAAAATATGATTGTGCAGAAATACATGTATTTTGATAGACACAATTCTGGACTAGAGAAAATCACAGAAAAATTATAAGATTTTTTTCGCGTTTGGTTTGTTTGTTTTTAAGTTTAGCCAACGCTTTAGAAAACATTATTTACATGTTTGCCATGCTGGTAACCAGGGTTTTATGTTAATACTTTGCCTCTTTACTCCAATGCTATGCCAGTGCATGTAAATCTAAATCACTTTGGATGGTTGTCAGCAAACATCACCCTTAACCATTGTCCATTTGTATAATGACCTAAACTTTTACATAGGTAAACTAATTCTGGATCATTTATCCTGGACGAGAGATTACATCCACGTACTGCTAGAATTTATTGTGCAAGTTACTTTTTAATACCTTTTTTGGTTCATAAAAATGTCTTAAAGAAAAACAACATCAATGTAATAACAATTTATTAAGTTGACAATATAAATTTGGAATTTACTGTGAATTTTAAAATTAGCTTTTACTCTATTATATCCTTTGAAAGAGTTAGAATTATAGAGTCATAAAATACTAGAATTGGAATGAGCCTCCAAAGGTCATCGAGTCCAGTCCCCTTGTGCTCATGGCAAGTCCAAGCACCATCTAGACCCGTGGTGTTCGGCATGTTAACAACTAACCACATGTGGCTGTTTGGCCTGTTGACTGTGCCTACTTGGCTTGAACAATGTGGCTATTTTGCTGGTTGAGTGAGGCTAGTTTGCTATAGCAGTGGCCACTATAATGACTGCTGCTTCAGAACTGTTTGGACACCATGGCTCTAGACCATCCCTGATAGGTGTTTGTCTAACTTGCTCTTAAAAATCTCCAAAGATGGAGATTCCACAGTATCTATAGGTAATTTATTCCAGTTTTTAATCATACTGACAGGAAATTTTTTCTAATGTCCAACCTAAGCCTCCCTTGCTGCAATTTAAACCCATTGCTTTTTGTCATATCATCAGAGGTTAAGGAGAGTAATTTTTCTCCCTCCTCATTGTAACACTTTTTAGGTACTTGAAAGCTGTTACCATGTCCCCTCTCAGTCTCCTCTTTTCCAGATTAAACAAACCCAATTCTTTCAATCTTCAATCCTCGTAGGTCATGTTTTCTAGATCTTTAATCATTTTTGTTGATCTTCTCTGAACCGTCTCCAATTTCTCCACATCTTTCCTCATAAGTGGCACCCGAAACGGGACACAGTAATCCAGCTGAAACCTAATCAGCATAGAGTAGAACAGAAGAATTACTTCTCATGTCTTGATTAACACACTCCTATTAATAAATTCCCAGAAGGATGTTTGGTTTTGGTTTTGCTTTTTTGTTTTTTTGCAACAGTGTTATACAGTTGAGTAGTTTGTGGCCCATTATGACGCCTAGATCATTTTTCACAGTACACCTTCCAATTCAGTCATTTCCCATTTTGTATGTGTGCAACTGATTATTCCTTCCTAAGTGGCATACTTTGCATTTGTCTTTATTGAACATCATCCCATTTACTTCATGCTATTTCTCCAGTTTGTCCGATCATTTTGAATTATGACCCAGTCTTCAAAAGCACTTGCAACCCATCCCAGCTGGGTATCTGCAAACTTTATAAGCGTACTCTCTATGCTATCATCTAAATAGTTGATGAAGATATTGAATTGAACCAGACCAAGAAGGGATCCCTGTGGAACCCCACTTCCAGCATGACTGTGAACCATTGATAACTACTCTCTGGGAATGGTTATCCAACCAGTTATGCAATCACCTTATAGTAGCCACATGTAGATTGTATTTCCCTAGTTTATTAATAAGAAACTCATGCGAGAGACTATCAAATGCTTCACTAAAATCTAGATATACTTCTTCCCCCTTTTCCATGAAGCTTGTTATCCTATCAAAGAAAATTTCCCATTCGACATGATTTGTTCCTTACAAATGGACATGATTTGTTCCTTATATTCCAGATGTTTTCAAATAGATTCCTTAATTATCGATCTATATTATTTTAAAAAGTTTTTCCTGTAGGACGACATAGTGACCCCATCATGTCACTCTACATCCCACAGCACCTCCCCCTTCAGCCACCCTGCCTCTTCCCTTCCTCTCCACTGTTAATGCAGCAGGGATTGACAACCCATGGCTCTCAAGCAGTGGCAGCACTGAAGACAAGCTGCTGCTGGTGGACTTCTGTGGGGGGGCCTGTTGTAAGGGGGAACTAAAAAAGTTCTGGCGGGGGAGGGGCAGCAAGGCCCGTGGTGGGAGTTCCACTGAAGAGGCCCACAGGACGGGGGGATCCTCTGGCCCCTGAACTGGGCTGGGAGATACCCAGCACCTGAGCTGGGGCTGGGGCTGGATGTGCCTCTGGCAGCTGCCACATGGCAGGCTGCTGGG